CCTTTCTCATTGAGACCTTGGCACATTAGCTGAGTAATTTCTACTCAGTACCATGTGCAAAAGTGTATTTGCTTTGGAAGAATAAATCACCTCTAATGTTGGGTGTCCTACATGTGTGGATGTTGCTTCATTATATAAAACTATTAGAATAGTTTTTCACTGCCCATAATTTTAAAGGGTGCCTTTACTGAAAAAAGGTTGAGAGACGCTGTTCTAAAGGTAGCCTTAGATCTCGCAGCTTGATGGCTATTTAAGCCACTTTTGATTGACCAAGATTCAAGCATACCATTGAAAGTTGTATCCTGAAGCCAAGACATGTAAAACCCATGAATTCGATTAACCAAGCTATAATTTTTAGCAAGCTTTAATACAGGACATTGGTAAAAAAAAATAACCAACATTAGTAAAAACAATGGCAATTTTGTCAAAAGTGATTGGATTTTTCCCCCAGCTTTAAATGAGGCAGTGTGAATCCTTGTGGTCATTAAAAAACCCTAATTTCTTGTTCAAATGATCAAAATTTCAATTCCAGCTCTTTTGAAAGTGGCTGAAATTGCTGAAAAGTTGCCAAGTGTATGAGCAGCTTAAGTGGACCTGTTGTTAATGATGACATGGCAGTGTTTTACAGGGTAGTGTACTGTATACAAATAATAAACTGCAGCCAACAGGGAATAGGGCAGTGCCCACTGATGTGTGCCGCAGGACTTATGCTCAGCTGGAAAAGCACCATTTAAGCAAAGACGGTTGGTCACATCAAAGCTTTTGAGCATACGGTTGGTCACATCAAAGCTTTTGAGGTTTTGTTAGAACCAACAGGCATATATCAGCTATCAGCAGTTTTCTACAGAATGCCTTGACGCCTTTCACACAAAAGAACCTTATTGATTCTATTAAAACTTCTTAAAAAATGCTTGAATGTGATTGCTTAAAACTTTCCTTGTTGGATTAGCATTTCTAAGTGCTCTTTTTCACCTCTGTAACTTCTTGGAGGAATTTTAAAGATGGGCACTCTCTATGCTTACTAAATTTCTCTAGAAGTTTTGGCACTGCAGAGAAGTTTCTTTCCCAACAGTTTTGGATTGCATATCCAGAGAGGCTTTGTAGAAACAGGCCTCAATAGCTTTTTCTAAATGAGGTCAGAAGTGCAGAGCTTAGTAACTGTTGTAGAACCCTCCAGCTAAATATGGATTACAAAAATAATTATTGTAAAAAAATATATGATTGCACAGGAAAGAGAAGTTTGAAAACTCACCTCGGGTGAATGTTGTGACAAGCTTCAACACAGCAAAAGATCTTTATCTATACCAGTATATGTAATCATTAGATAGTTTAGTCACCTCTAGGGGAATGGAGCACAAGACATGATGGTACAGTCTGATAGTTTTATCCATTTTGTTGTTCCATATTTACAGTCTTTTTTGAAGAGAAAAAAACAACTGTGTGGGATTTCTATTCGGTTGTCTGTTTTATTTAATATTGGTCAGATTACAAAAATAGGGGTCAGGAAGGTTGGAAATTTTCTGAGCACACCTGATTGTATTCTAAAGTGTGTGCTGGATGAGTTAAATTTGGAGTTTCTACCCTGTTATGTTTGGGACATTTCACCTCTTTAGGGAAAAGTATTAGTCTGAACGTGAAAGGAGAAATTAAGGTCGTTTTTTGTTTTTGGTGCAATGGGCTTTAAATTATTTTTGAAGGGTATAGAAGGTACTTTCAGCTATCCAGGTCACATCTTTTTTTTTCTTTTCTTTATTTCTTGTCTTTATTTCGAAAGAAGAAAGCATAGGCAATGAAAAAAAGTTTTAAAAAACTAGAACATTTAAAGCGATTCTAAAGGTTAATTTTTTTTTGGGGGGGAGGGGGATAAACATGCTATTCTTACCTGCTGTGTGCAGTGGTTTTCCAGAGAGAATCCTGGATCCTCCTCTTCTCAGGTCCCACACAGGCTCTCCTGTCCCCTCCTTGCTGTCAGGTGCCCCCACAGCAAGACAGAGAGCCACGGCTTGGCCCTGTCCCCTCTCTCTCCTCATTGACTGACTGGCTATGATTGACATCAGCATGAGCCAATGGCTGCCAGTTGTTGTCTCAGCCAATGAGGAGGCTGAGACTCGGGACAGTCAAGGCTGTCGTTCACATTGCTGGATTGTGATGAGGCTCAGGTAAGTATTGAGGGGGCTGGGGGCACTGCTGTACACAGAAGGTTTTTTTACCTTCATGGATAGAATGCACAAAGGTAAGAAACCTTGAGTCTTTACTAAACTACTCTCCTATATACAAGTAACGAAAAAAAGAGCAGAATATTATTTTCAACCAAGGCTCTGCGGGGGCAAAAGTTTGCGGCAAAAACTGTTTCCCCCACAATCATGCTGCTCCTCCCTAGTGGTGTTAAGATTTTTTTTTTTTTTATCTTATTGGTGAAAACCGTATATAGGTTATCCTTGGAGTCCCATGCACATAAATTTCAATTTTGGTCTCCCTGTGTGGCTACTGTTAAGGCATCATGGGATTTTTCTAATGTTGCCCCTTTGACAGAGTGCTGCTGTATCTTGGCCCCATATAGTGAAGGCATGCACATAGATAGTTTAAAAATGTGGGTTATGGTTATTAGAGAGCTTTTTCAATTCCATGTAGCATGCTCTTCCACTGGAAGTCAAGTGCTGATAGGTTGTGTTTAAGGGCTTCTCAGTTTAAAATGTAATTGCTTTGTAATTAGAGTTTTCCTTTACCATAGTGGAAGAGGGGAGAGGGATGTAGTTTTTCTTAGCGTGGGCAAGGTATGGCAGAACACTCAGCACTAACATGAGTTGGCTGTGTTTCCAGACACCCGGTAATTAGTGGGAAATTCTTGAGTCTATGAGAAAAATTGTAATACTTATCATGTACGGTAATGACTAAATGACTAATGAAAACACTATAATTACTTTGCTGCAGTATGAATAAAAAGAAAATAACCGTTTTGTGAAGAGATCTTGTCTCAACACATAATTTACTACCTCAGACATTTATCTCGCATGGCCCTGCTATTTGCTTTGTAAATGGTTCACGCAACCTACCTCAATGAACTAGAATTTACTACGACTCTGTACCTGCCAATTGCCCTGTTAACTGGCAGCCAAGAAAATATGCGCATTTAGGTTTTGTATTTTTTCGCAAGGTGGCTTCAGCTGTCCATTTATTAGGTCTGTCTAGTATGGCAGCTAAGGTTTTCACCTCTTCTAAGACAAAAATGCCAGCCTTATGCTCTAAAGCAGACTTTCAACCCGAAAAAAAAAAAAAAAAAAAAAAAGGATTTTGGCACCTGGCTCCAGTTCCTTCTCTCTCCCACAATTAGATATTATATATTTTTTTTATCTTTTTTAGTGTTTTTGAATTTTTTGCTTAGACTTAACCTAGAAGAGAATGACATTCTACTCCTGGTGCTTCATGGGGAATTCACCAAATGTAAAGATATGCAAAATGGCTCTGCCCAGCCTTCAGGACCTGGCAAAGACCATCGGCACAGCTACGTAATCACAAGGGGTTTTCCATGCATGCACAAAGACACCAAAGTTATGGAGGTCCTGGATCTCAGGTTGTCTGTCCATGTGTGGGAAAACTTGACACAATTGAAAATGTGCCACAGGTCTCTGTCATTTCCTAAGGCAGGGCAGAAACCTTTGGCACATCTGTGAACACAACAGTTTTTCAAAGATAGCGGTGCTGGTGTTGGGGATGGGGCCAGCATTACAGGGACTGAAGCACTTTTTTAATAAAGTTTTCAACAAATTCTATTATCAACTAGGTGGCAAACCATATCAACCTCATCTCTTAAAGTGTAGTAAACCTGTGTTTCCCTCAAACATCAATTCATGTGATATAAAAAGATTCTTTTTGAGAGTGTTGATCTGTGGGTCCTCTGGTACGCTGATTGGTCACATTGAGGTTGGCGGGAGAATTTCTGCGTGAAGAGGACACTCACTCAACAGTGGACACACTTGGAAATGTCAGTTTCTGTAGGTTTCAGGGTATAGTTTCTCTTCATCTGAGCAGCATTCAACAGCATGAGCAGCGAGAAATGAAAGTCACTTGAAAGTATGTCAAGACAAAGAAAAAAACCATATGCAAAGAATTGATGCAATGAATGTACATTTCCTTGTGCTTTGTCCCTACAAAGGCCCTGTAGTTATAGGAGAATACCTGTTTATCTACCAAAAATGCTCTTGTCCTGTTGGCTGACAACACACAGCTTTTTTGTGGACTAGGTGGTATCAGCCTTGCCCAGTATCTTTTTGCTAATGTACTAATCGTTTGTAGCCCAAGGTAAAAACTGGGAGGTCTTTTTGGGAAAACATCTCTGAAATTCTGACAAGATTTGCATTTTTTTTTTTGCACTTATCAAATAGAACTAACAGAAATTCTTCCAATGGTATAAGGTAGCGAAATAATCAAAGTTTATTGTTGTTCACATACAGTTATTCAACCCCCACGAAATTGAGTGTTTTGGCCAGTTTGACATTGCTTTTTGATCATTCAGTCATCTTGCTTACAGTTTACATTAAAGAGAGGCACTTGTAGGTCACAGACAAATATAACATAAAACAGTTATAATGAAATAACCACAATGTCTTTTCTGTGCTCACAGCATTATCAGTTTTATTCAACCCCCAAGTGACATTCAATCTTAGTACTTAGTACAGCATCCTTTTACAGTTATAACAGCTTTTAAACCAAAAATTCCCACTCTCATTTGTTCATAATATAGAGGCTAATCGTTTGTAGACCAAGGTAAAAAAACACTGGGAGGTCTTTTTGGGAAAACATCTCTGAAATTCTGACAAGATTTGCATTTTTTTTTGCACTTATCAAATAGAACTAACAAAATTCTTCCAATGGTATAAGGTAACCACACCAGCGAATAATCAAAGTTTATTGTTGTTCACATTTTCATACTTTGCATTGAACCTTACTTCACACAGTTTGAATCACGACTAGGACTGACAGCAGGGGCGGACTGACAACTCATGGGGCCCCCCCGGGCAACAGGGGATCATGGGGCCCCTGTGTCCTTGCCCAAACTCAAAAAAGCCTATGAAAAAGGTACCAGGGGCATCTCATGGGGCCCCCTACAGACCCCGGGGCCCTCGGGCAGTGCCCGAGTTTCCAAATGGTCAGTCCGCCCCTGACTGACAGTATGTCTTACCGATGTATGGCCGCTATAAAACTTCAAATCTACTTGTTGTGGTTTACTACCATTTTAAACATTACTTTTTTCATTTCCATATTAATTAAGCCCAATTGGCCAATATTTTTTAAAAGGGTTTTAAAAAAGTGTAATACATCTCAGCTGTGATTCATAAAGCTGCAATGGCACTAAAGACATGCTAAAATGACATAGTTAAAAGTGACTTAAGTGCACTTTAAGGTAGTTAAGTGTTTGAGGTTGAATGAATCTGAGCTGAGTGTTTGTCATGCCTCCTAGGCTTTGTTAATATGATATCTTGCTGTTGATGTTGTCTTGCAAATTCTCTCTCTCTATATATCTATATATCTATCTATCTATATATATATCTATCTATATATATATATATATATATATATATATATATATATATATATATATATATATATATATATTTAAACTTCGAGAACCAATGTATCCCAAAGGACAACGTCTGTTACTAGTTTTACCCTAACATATGGAAGAGATCTCTGCAGCTGTGACACCTGAAGGTGTCACAAAATAAAATATGGTGTTAATTTTTGTAAAAACTATGTGTTTATAGGCCTGCAGCATTGCTTCCAAAATAATTCAGTATGGCTATGATAGACTGCAAGAGCTTTATATCTAGATGCTATAGTTTTCTGTACATTAATTATGGTTGTTCTTTCATTCTCTAACCAATGGCACAGCAGTTATTATCAAGAGTATCCCCACTGCTCTGCTAATCTAAGTATGCCAGCCCGCAGTATCCTTTCTGTTTTCTTGGATGATGAGCAGAGAAGACAATTCGACATTTTGGCGCTATGACAAAGCAGCCATTTGTTTTATCCAAAATACAACCCTGTTTTACGTTCAATTTTTGTTTGTTATGATATAACCAATTGTACTGAATCATACAGCAGTAAGTGGGTAATATATTCGGAATAGCCAATGCTGCTAGAAGTAGTTGAATGACTATGCACTGTAAGCTAAAGAATATCATATACAATCTGTGGACAGCATGCCAGAAAGGCTATTTTTCCATCCAGTAATGGAGCTAATGCTTAACCCTGTGGTTGCCAAAGAGGAGCGACTTGGGAAAAGCTTGTCAGCCATTTAGGTTAGTAAAGCTAAATCTGTATTTTCTAAAAGCTTGGCATGACAGTAGAAGCTTTTCATGTAAAAGCCGCTTTACTCTTTTTCACATAGATAAATAGAATTCACATTGTCTAGGAATTTTATGGGATGGGACATAAATATGTTAAAAATGCATGATTGTCTGTCAGTTCTTGTTATACTGATAATGACATACTGCAGAGGCCCTGGAATGTTTCAAGGAGTATCCGGGGATGGGAAAAAATGATGGGTTTGAATCGCCATTGTCTGTTAAGCCACAGTGCTAAATTATGGCTTAGTGAAGAAGTATGCTAGGTAACCTGTGGCACCAACTAAATGCTTGGAACTGAATGTCACAGTAAGTGAAGAGTTGCATGTCTAAAGCTGGAGAGATGTTTTCTAAGAACAAGGTATGGTGAGATATCTTTTGATGCTTTTTTGGAACAACAGTGATTTTCTCCCAGCTCAGCCTGTCTATAAAGTGCATGTGCAATAATAGTCTTTGTTTTTTTTCTCCATGGATAACAGAAATCTCAAAATTTTGTGACACCAAAATATTAAAGTGTTTTGGAAAGTCTGTGTACACTAACAAGCCATTCTGATGCTTGTAAATACTTATTACCCTTCAGCTAACCTTAAAGTGGAACTTAACACCCCCACATTTTTTTACCCTTTGCCTATATTGTGCTGGATCATCTTCAAAACAATTACTCGCAAAGTGAATCTGGTGTTGTGTTTCTTTGATCCACTATATGGCTGACATAGCCCAGGTCCCATGCCACCATATTGGTCCTCATCAGCTGGCTGTCTCTTTCAGGCTCAGGCAGCTAACTCCCGATGATGCGCTGGGCCCACCCTCCAAACGCTCTGTGTGCCTAGTCCTGCAGCCTCCTGAGAATCTGGCATGAATATTGAAGGATGTTGCAGGACCAGTGATACATCATTCAAGCCTAGGCCAAATAACAGTGAGGAGGAGAAGGCACATAGTAAATAAAAATAAAATATGCAAATATTCAAAAAATGCAAAAACAAATAAAAATTCCCCCAGCTGCTATACCAAAAATGTTCAGGCCCCCTTGAAACATTAATGCAGTAGTGAATAAATAGAATAGAAAACTGAACATTATGTCCATCGAAAAACTAAAATAGCTCATACGATTGTGCCATCATTTGTTTTATTCCTTCTAAGTAAAAAAAAAAAAAAAAACTAGATCAGGCACTTTCAGTTGCTGCATGAAATTGTGTATCGCAGCTGGCACACTAATGATGTGAAAAACAGACAATTTGACAATTGTCACAAATTTGTGTTCAGTTAAGAAGTACTGCAGAGCTATATTAAAAAACTACATTAATATTACCACCAACTGTAAAATAACCTCTAAATGTTCCAATATAAATAAATCGAATGGCATTGTCCAAAATGATAAAATATCTTTGTGATGTAGTGGAAATAAAAATTTAATTTAATCCATTTTCTTGAAATCTCTACCACTCGCCACCAACAACTAGAAGGGCACTCTCCAAATCTTTACCTATCTTCTTATGGAAATGTAAAAGCGTTCAATATACTACGTGTGGCAACTTCTACTGGGGAAGCTTTCTCCTCTGACAACACCTCCTCACAAATCAGGAACCGAATGCTAAGTACAAAATAGAATCCAAAAATAAACTGCATACAGTGTAAAACCATAAACTTTATTCATGAAACAGGATAGGCAGAAATAAACTCAAATTTAATAAAAGATCAAGCACCAAAGTGACTTTCCTACACTGACCTACTTGCCTGTATGTATAACCACCCTTTAACAGATTTAGCCAGCCTTACTGCTTCCTCAGGAGATTTTAGAGCCCATTCAGACTTGGGGTTAAAAGTGAACATGCAATGCTGTTCACATTTAATTTTGCACAACACACCAAGGCAACACACAAGGCTTGCAGCATGTGGAAATGCACCATAGTGTGTTGTGTTACACATTTTTCTGGCACATCCAGCCCATTGATTTCCATATTCCCAGCTAGACTGAAAATTCTACCCAGAAGAACACTCCTTGTTTTCTGCTATGTTCCATTATTTTGAAAAGCAATATTTCTACATTTTAAACTGTTAGGTATAAAGCGAAGGCAACTTGATATTCTTGTATATACCTACAGCAGCATGTAAGCACCACCATTATCCCCAAATGCTGTGCTTTTCTCAAGGGCACAACACTCTCCAACACATTGACCCATCACAGCAATAATCTGCCTCAATGGCTAAAAAATTGTGCGGCAGGTGGCAAGCAAATTCCAACACTAATGGGAAGTACCAAAGCTTTGTCCAATAGAAACCCCCAGCATTCACCAAAATGGCAGTTGTAGATACGTGCATGCACCTCTTTTTATGCTAGTGGCAGAGCTGTTTTAAATCACATTATACTCTAAAGTTGTGTTCCACAGTGTGGTTTCTGTTTTGCCTTTTTAATTGGGGTTAGGAAAAATCTTCTGTTTAAATGTGCTCTGCATTTTGTCATATAACAGACATGGCTTCATTGGTTCCCTACACACAGGAATTGCTGCAGCCGGCTCACCTTGACACCAATTTTGTGAAACATTCGTCCTCAGCCCAGTTTCTAGGGAAAATCATCAAGCTTTTCTAACTAGGCTGCTCTGTCATTTTCTGCAGAAGTGGAATAAAAATCCATACTGAAAAAATAGCAACTCTCACACTATTTTATCTAAACAGTTCTTTATTGCCGAGCAAAGTTAGGTGTAATTCAAGGAGGTCGATTTTTCACTGCTTATTTTTATTTATAAAGAGCAGGAGATGAAAAATGGCTCATTTCTGTAGACAGCAGGGCTTATTTATCAAGTTCTTAAAGCGAAGCAGTGTTGAGGGAATCATTTTCTGCAGAACGCTGTAACATTTTAGGAAGTGGTAGTGCCCCATTTAGCATGTAGATTTCCTTTTTTTAAACTAATGGTCTCAATCTTATTATAGTATGCTTCTAGTTTTATTGGTATACTTTAGGCATATCATATGTTGGCCTTTTGTGCTGCAGTTTGATTCAAGGTAGGACAAATCCCAATAGAAAGATAGTCAGTGTACTTGCACAGTTAACGTTGGCCCCTGCTTTTTAGAAATTTTCGGTTTTTAATTTAAATACCTGCTGATCACTGAAATAGATATTCAAATAGACATTGTACTCGCAGGTTCCACTTCTGTAGGCTTACCTCAACAATCGAGATACAGCAGTGCCCATACCGCCCAGCTTTCTGAAATGGGAAAGAGAGACACTCCTTAGTACAAAGTGTGTAGTCAAAGGACACATCCCTGCCATGTCCCTATGTGGACCATAAATAATTAATAAGCAAAATATAATTAGCTAAACCCCCATTTTTTTTTTTTTTTTCATCACTGGTTTCTTTACACTAGCTTTTTAAAGCAATAATGTGATAAGAAGGTCTGTGTAAAAGGTTTAGTGTAGTGTAACATTTCTGATAGTTAAAGCAGAACTAAAGGCACTAAACTTACTGCCTAAAGCAGGCCATAGACATGGAGAAAACCGGCCGTTTTTTTTAGAAAATCCTAAAATCGGTCGTTCAGTCGGCCGACGTTACTTCCATTGTAAAAAAAAGTCGGCTGGTTTTCGTCCCGTCTACGGCCAGCAATTAATATAATAGCGGTGTCCATGCATAGAGCCCCGCTATTATATTTGACAGGAGAAATAGATTATGCAGAAGAAGAAGAAGAAACAACATTGTATCTATTTGTACTTGAATAGAAACGTGTATCCGAAATGGATACAAATAAATACAGTGTTGCAATTTTTTTCTTCTTCTTCTCCTGCAAAATCTAGATCTTCCTCTTCTGCAAAATCTATTTCTTCTTCTCCTGCAAAATCTATTTCTTCTTCTCCTGCAAAATCTATTTCTTCTTCTTCTTGATATTCTATGTCTTCTTTTTCTTCATATTCAATTTATTTAAAAATCTTCAAAAAGAACGGCCGATTTGACCATAATTACCGCGAAAATCGGCTGAACGACCAAATCGCCCGACGATTTTCCAGCAGGGCCGATTTTCTAAATGTCTTAAAATTACGAAAAATGGCCGACCGATTTCCCCACTAACGATCCGAATATCGGCCAATTTTGTTTTTATCGGCCGATAATTCGGCAACTTTATCGGAAGTCTATGGCCTGCTTAATGGTCCAGGCCCCTCACCTGCATCTTCGGGTATCTCCATTGGTCTATACGGGATGATGTCAGTCATCCCAGCACAAAGCAACCATGCTAGCAATGTAAGCTGTGTAGAAAAGGGGGTAACCGGGGCATTGCCAACTATGGACTATAGTGAGAATACCTAGGAAAAAGGGGGGTCAAAAATTATATAATAAACTAAATAGTGGCCCCTATATATAGAGAGAATATGCCGACTCACATGGAAATAGCCATGTGGTGTCCTCAGGACCCAAACATAACCAGAGAAAAAGAAGGGAAAACAATGACAGAGGCACAAGATGCCCAAGTCAAGCGGGTCCAAAAAAGGTCAAACTGCGGCTTGTAATAAGAAAAATCTATAAATCTTTCATTGCAGTAAAAACATGAATCAATACACATGATAAAACAAAAACAATAAAAGGAGAGAGCCTCACCACTACCAAAGAGAAAAATAGAAGAGAATGTGATGGTTGTCCGGGGTGATGCCACACATGCTTTAGTCCAAGCACCAAGGAAGGGTTATTGAAAATCCCACATCTTACACCCATTTCGTCACCCCGAAAAACCATCACATTCTCTTCTATTTTTCTCTTTGGTAGTGGTGAGGCTCTCTCCTTTTATTGTTTTTGTTTTATCATGTGTATTGATTTGTGTTTTTACTGCAATTAAAGATTTATACATTTTTCTTATTTCAAGTCGCAGTTTGATCTTTTTTTTGGACCTGCTTGACTTAGGCATCTTGATCCTCTGTCATTGTTTTCCCTTCTTTTTCCCTTAGCAATGTAAGCTGTGCTGCACATGCTCAGGTCAGTTTGCATTCCGCAGAAGACTACAAGGCAGGTAAGTATATTTTATTGCAGAAGAGACCACTTCTTTGGTTAAATGCTTTCAGCTCTGCTTTAAGTATTGCATTTGTTATAGAGGCCTGCACATCTATCCATAAAGGGGGACAGCCTAGAAAGAAAGATGTACAGAAGGATTCGGTCCCAAAACAGGGACAGTCCTTACAAATGAGGGAACTTTGGGAGGTATGGCAGTGCAAAGTGTCTAAATGTCCACATTTAGTGCAAACTAGTACATGTTGCAGTCTTGGAGAGGGTTTGTGTATGCTGTGTGAGCTCCATACAGAGTGATCAGGGGTTCTAATTCTTTCTTACCCTATCCAAAATGGGGAAAAACTTTTTGGCTGTACAAAACTATTAAGTGTAATTTTACAGGACATTCAGATATTGAACTTGGTGGTGGTCATGGATATATTTTCTTAGTAGAAAAACTCAGGCTTTTTAAAGTATTAAAGCTGAAGTTTAAAAAAAAGAACATTTTCTCTCTACAGCTTTAGTTACACTACTATTTTAAAGTATGTTTCATATTCTGCAGCCTGAT